TTCTTTTTTTTCTTTCTTTTTAAATGAAAGCTTATTTATTTATTTATTTTTGGCTGTGTTGGGTCTTCGTTTCTGTGCGAGGGCTTTCTCTAGTTGCGGCGAGCCGGGGCCACTCTTCATCGTGGTGCGTGGGCCTCTCACTATCGTGGCCTTTCTTGTCGCAGAGCACAAGCTCCAGACGCGCAGGCTCAGTAGTTGTGGTTCAAAGGCCTAGTTGCTCCGCGGCATGTGGGATCTTCCCAGACCAGGGCTCGAACCCGTGTCGCCTGAATTGGCAGGCGGATTCTCAACCACTGCGCCACCAGGGAAGCCCCAAGACTTGCTTTCTTAATCTAAATCCTCCTAACAGACTAATTACAAAGACTCTAACTCCAAATAAGTTACAGAAAATTATTCTTAAACGAAAGAGCTCAATGGACCCAAACAGATAATAAAACATTTCTTCCTTTTCATCTTACAAACTGTACTTCAATTATTGTTCAAAATTAAAATATTTCCAAGATTTCCAAGGATTACTATGCACAAGCACTGACCTCCCCACTAGACCCTAATAAAAAAGCAGTAGGGACTTCCCTGGTGGCGCAGTGGTTAAGAATCCGCCTGCCAACACAGGTGACACGGGTTCGATCCCTGGTCTGAGAAGATCCCACATGCCACAGAGCAACTAAGCCCGTGCACCACAACTACTGAGCCTGCTCTCTAGAGCCCGCGAGCCACAAATACTGAGCCCACATGCCGCAACTACTAAAGCCTGTGCGCCTAGAGCCCGTGCTCAGCAACAAGAGAAGCCACCACAAATGAGAAGCCCACGCACCGCAATCAAGAGTAGCCCCTGCTCGCCACAACTAGAGAGAGCCCGCATGCAGGAACGGAGACCCAACGCAGCCCAAAATAAACAAATATTAAGAAAAAAAAGCAGTAAACAACGAATAAACCCATAGCAAGAAAGTGAACAGAAAAAGGATCATTAGCAAACATTTCAACAAATTTCTAGTAGATAAAATGTAGAGGACATCCCTGGTGACACAGTGGTTAAGAATCTGCTTGCCAATGCAGGGGACATGGGTTTGAGCCCCGGTCCGGGAAGATCCCACATGCCCCGGAGCAACTAAGCCCGTACGCTACAACTACTGAAGCCTGCGTGCCTAGGGCCCATGCTCTGCAACAAGAGAAGCCACTGCAATGAGAAGCCTGCGCACCACAACGAAGAGTAGTCCCCACTCGCTGCAACTAGAGAAAGCCTGTGTGCAGCAACAAAGACCCAACACAGCCAAAGATAAATAAATAAATTAATTAAAAAAAAATAAAAACTTAGTGGCTTAAAAAAAAAATGTAGATAAAAGTACCTACCACAGAACGTGCACACAGGGGCTACAGGAGAAAGTAAGGCAGACTTAAAATGAGGGATTAACTCATGAAACAGCTTTGCACCTCACCCTCCTGGGCACCCTTTAACGTAACTGCAGGCTTTCCAACAAGTTGGCCAAGAATACATCCCATTCCTACATAAAGAGATCCTAATTTGCTCTTACACTCAGAAAAGTGGGAAGGAGCTACCTAAATAACCCGGCAGTAATATTCAAGCATTACCTAGTTCTTCATTTGAAAATGTAGACAACCAAGGATCAGCAATTGACAAAAATGAGTAGGAAGATAAAAAGCAAACCAAACAAAAAGAACAAGTGACCAGGGAGGGAAAAGAGATAATCCAATTAACAGAAGAGAATTTAAAAAGAAAACCCTAAATATTACTCTCAGACAGATTAAAGAAAATAATGCATCCTTAAAAATAAACACAAGCTGAAAAAAAGAGAAATACCTGTACAAAAAGATTTCTTGGAATTAAAAGTATGACTTGTGCCTTTAAATGTCACTATTGAGCTGGAGAAGAGCAAAGTAATTTCCCAGGATGAAAAAAAGTATAAGGAAACAAGAAACCCAAGAGTTCAACATTCCAACAAGAGAGAACAAAGAAAATGGAGCACAGAAAACATACAGAAAAAAGTAAATTTCCCAGAGCTAAACAAAGACCAAGACTTTAAATGGAAAGGACCTGCTTATAACAACTACAATGCATAAGAGAATATCCATACCTAGACCTATCACCACGCAATCCCAGAAAACCAGGAGAAAAGAAAATTCCAAAGCTTCCCGAGAGGCAAAGCAATTACCAAAAGAAAGTAACTGTGACTGGCATTAGGTAGACATGAACAACAACTGGCTACTAGAAGACAACGGGGCAATATGATACTTTCCAAGCTGTAAGGAAAAATGTTGAACCAGTATTCTATACCTAGCCCAACTATTCATCAAGCATGAGACAAAAATCAAAATTATTTTCAGATACACGAGACTTGGAAAGTCTACCTCCTGCCATCTTTTCTGAATAAGTAACTTAAGGATGTTCTCCATTAAAATGAAGGAAGAAACCAAGGAACTGAAAATATATGATACAGGAGGAAACCGGGTCTAAATCAGGTAAATTCCTAGGACGTCAACTGCACATCATGTCTTAAGAGCAGAGAGCTTAAGGGAAGAAAGTAGCTTCATATAATAGATATTATGATTAGATATCTTTTAAAAGTTTGAAGATATGCTAAAGGCAAAATTTTCTTTAATCAGCAAGAAAAATGGAAGGTTATTTAGGAACAAAATTGTACAAAGAAAGTCAGGATTGAAATATGAAAGTAAAATGTGGTATGTTTTGAGGAACTGATGGCACATCAGAAAATAAAATACATCTAATCCTAATAGATATATATGTTCAGGCTCTCTATATATAGTTATATATAGATATTTATCTATCTATAAAATCCCAGTACACTACCTGACATCTCAAAGAAAATTGTTTTCAATTGTCAAGCCCTCAGACAGGCCTTCCTTAACTATACCATCCCTTCACCCTGCTCTATTTTTATTCCCCTAGTATCTGTTATCCTAACATTATATCACATTCACTGATTTCATTGATTCTAACACATATATTCTTCACTTTTTAATCTTGATGAAACCAGCATGCATTTTACAATCCATGCAGAGCATTTTACAACTACAGTCAGCCAGGTGGCAGTCTTGTTACTGTGTGAAAAACCTTCAGTGGATACCTTCTGAAAAGATTATAAAAGCACCAGCATCAAAATGTTTCAGATTAGCTGAAATACAATTTTTATTCGCTTGCTGGGTATCTCCCCTATCATCAACATAAGAGCAGTAACTTATTTTTTTCAAATCTCTGTATCCTCTACATAAAACAGTGACTGGCAGGTAACATACTTAATCTGTGTCACACTTTAACATCTCTGAAAACAGGGTGGGTCCAACAAGACGGATCCTGCATAGTTGGCCCTTAAGTTTTTCTTCTTAGTGGTACATGTGATAATGGTGAATCATATAAGCAATGGCATCCAAGATATGAAGAAATTCAGTAATGAAAAGTTTGGAGGAAGATGGAGACAGTAGTGAGTGAACTGACCCATTTCAAAAGACGACTCCAAAGATTAGAAAATCCAGGAAACAGAAACATAAGCTTATTATTATTTTTATTTTGTGGAACTAAATACTCAAAGAAATAAAAACAAAAAAGGCTAAATGTGATTGTCTCCTGGAAGGAGGCAAGAGACATCGTTTTTCACTATAAGCCTGTCTATACAATTTTTTTTTTTTTTTACCAAGTGCACATATTCTTTATGAACCGTTTTTCAAGTATTTAACAAGATGGGGAAGTTGAGATTCACATACTGAAAATCACAGAGACTGAGACAGGAACATTTACACGGAGACAGAGAGACATTCAGGGGAACACAAAGTCAAAGTCAGAATCAGGTATCTCCAGAGATTTCAACTGGCAAGAGGGGATGAAGACCACCGGAATTCTGGAGGCAAACCGAGCAATATTCTAAAGCGTGACATCAACACTAGCTGCCTACTGAGGATAACTATGCCATTTTGCTCATCAGAAAGGCAAGGTAGGATCGGCAAAGGCTTGCTAGTTTACCCGTGTGCCCTGAACTGAAAAATTCAGACCCTCTTATGTGAAAAAATTACAAGCTCTCCCTCGCCACAACTCTCCACGTTTACACAACACCCTTTCACCTGCCCTGGCCTGTCAACGTAAGGACAGATGCGGGGACTGAGCTGGGTCTCCCCTACACCCGAAAAAGCAAATGACTATGTCTGGGCGATACAAAAGCTAGGGGAGAGGACTGCTGCGGGAGGGCAGGCGGTTCGTCCATCCGAGAACGGTGGCCAAGACGTGAAAAAACCCAGCTTGCGGAGTCCGGGGCAGAGAAACACCCAAAGACCGCGGCCTGTCTCGGCATAAAGAAAGGACACCTTTCCCCAGAGAAAGCTAACCAGCTTGAACACCCAACTTGCCCAGAGCCGACAGTGGCGCGCAGTTCAGACTCCGCCCCTCCCTCTTCGCCCAAGGCAGGCGCAGAAAGATCGCAAAATGTCACAGGGCCAAGACTGAGCGCGCCAAAGCGGGACCCACCCCCGGGAGACCGGGACGCCGGAGGCAGGTCCCTCCCCTTCCTCTCTCCGCCCGCGCAGAGCTCATTCATTCTCCAGGCGGGCAGCAGGTCCTCCCCGGCCGGCCATTCCTGCACCGCAAACCCACCAGATGCTTTGTCTCGGGCCTGGCCGGAAACCGGGGCGCGCATTCGAGCGCGCGCCCAGACGCCACCTCCCCGCACCTGGCGCCCGCCAGATCTCCGCGCGTTTAAAGCCTTCTGGATCCCGGGGTCCGAGGCCCGAAGCCGGTCGCCTGTCGCTGGCGGCCCCAGGCGCGCACTTCGCCGAGTCCCACTGGGTATCCAGGATCGGGAAATGCGCATCCCGGTCCCACCATCACTACAGCTTGAGACCCCCGCGCGACCCCCGCCCCCGCTGAAAAACACTAGATTCTTTCTCCTTCTTAGAGACCGAGACCCTGCCCCTTCCGAAGGACGTGAGCACCCCGGCCCTCGCCCTCCCGCCCGAGCTGCGCCCCCGGCACTCACTTGAGGAGCAGCTGGTCGTGCTCGGCCTTGAACTTGCCCAGCTCGATCTGCAGCTTGGCGCGCTCGCGGGCCGTGTCGTCGAGCGCGCGTCGCGCGTCGGCCAGCTCGGTCTCGTAGAGTGCCTTGAGGCCGGTGAGCTCGCGGCCGCGCACCTCCTCACGCTCCGTCACCTGCAGCTGCAGCGCGCTGTTCTCCGTCTCCAGGCTGCGCACCTTGTCGATGTACACGGCCAGCCGGTCGTTGAGCTCGCGCAGCTCCTCCTTCTCTTGCAGCCGCGACAGCCGCGTGGGGCTCAGTGGCGTGGCGGGGCCGCCGGCGCGGCTGCCCGTCCGCTGCTGCACGGGGGTCGCTGTCGCCATGGCGATCGGCGAGGAGAGCTGAGCGCTGAGGCCGCGGGCAGCGCCGGAACACGGAGGGGGCGTCAGGCGGAGAAGCGTGAGGGAAGGCACGAACCGACGATCCGCGCTCGCGGAGAGGCAGACGTCGGGGGGAAGGACGAAGCACCTGGGATGGCGGGAGAGGGGTTACAAGCACAAAGGGCAAAGGGGGAGGACTACGAATCAATTAAACGTAAAACGTCCTTTGTAAGAAAACATGCACACACTCACACACGCGCGCACACACGCTCAGGAAATACAGGGTGAGGGTGGCCGGGAGAGCCGAGCAGAGTCCGCGCGCCGCCGCCGCCGCCGCCGCCGCCGCCGCCGCCGCCGAGTCTCCCGCCCGCAGCACTTTGTTTCCTCTCAGGCGGCGCTGAGCCGCGGGCGGGGTGAGGAGGGCGGAGGGGCGGGCTGGCTGCGAGCCGCTGGGGGCGGAGGTGGCGCGGGCCGTGGCGCCGCGCTCCCCAAGATGGCCGGCGCGCTCCGGCGTATCCACGTGACCGTCGCTGGCCAATGGGGGGCCGGCAACTCGGGGGCCGGGCCTGTAAATTCAAAATCTGGCCATCAGGCAACCGTCGGCTCGGCGCGCCCGGCTGGGCGTGGCTGGGGGCGGAAGGACTGAGGGCTGTGGGGAGGGGTGCCGGGGACTGCTCGAGCGGCGGCTTTGGGCTCCGCGCCGGCCGTGCTTTCCCACCAGCGCGCGGGGACCGCTTATCGGGTCGGGTCGGCGGATGGCGGGAAGGGGCCCAGAGGCTTCCGGGGCGGGTCCGTGCCGCCGCCCACACCCGGCGGTTCAGGGAAATTCAAATGTAAACGTCTCTAACTGACACACGCACAACTCGTAGAGCCTGGGACGACCGCGGGCGTTGTAACCTTATACCCGCCCCGCGGTGAGGGTTCGGAAAACGGCCTGGAGGCCCGGCCGCTGTGGAGTTATGTAATGAGCGCTGGTGTCCGAGGTTCAAGACTAACTGCCTGCGGGTTCCAAGTGCAAACCTTTATTTTTCTCTCAGGTGGAAAACGGTGTAGCAAAACACCTCCTCCCATCAAATTGACGCACGCGTGTCTTGAAGCAGATGGATAAAGACCACAGAAAAGCCAGTGCTGATGGGCGGTCCCCGATCCGTGTATTTCTTAACAATTTAGGGCTTTATAAAATCAAAACCACCTCACAAGTGATATGATTAACATGTTACTAAGTAAATAGCACAAGCTCTTCATGGTCATGCTTCACTAAAATCCCATGTATCAAAATCGAAACTTGTGAAAACTTAAGTAGAAATGCTTTTTGCTTTGAAAAGGGATTCCCCTGAAATGTAATTGACCACAGTTCTAATAGAATGTCCATCAATCCCTTTGAAAACTTTTAAAACTTTTAAACTTTTAGACTTAACATTTATTGAAGTTTACTATGTGCCCTGCCCTGGGCTTTTCGTGGATTATCCATCCACACATTCTGGGAACCAGATTCCTTCCATTTGAAAATGTATCCACGTAATAGATGAATTTCCTTACAGCCGCCCGGCAGGCGACAAGACTGCCTTTGAACCCAGGCGGTTTCAATCGCCTCCAGAGCCTCGCCCTCAACTATAACCTGGAAGGCCAACTCAACCCTTTAGGGACGCATCGGTAGACTAATTACAGGTTAGTTACCTTAATAATGGCAGAAATGAAGACTAGAATGTTTTCTTTCTTTCTTTCTTTCTTTTCCGGTACGCGGGCCTCTCACTGTTGCGGCCTCTCCCGTTGCGGAGCACAGGCTCCGGATGCGCAGGCTCAGTGGCCATGGCTCACGGGCCCTGCTGCTCCGCAGCATGTGGGATCTTCCCGGACCAGGGCACGAGCCCGCGTCCCCTGCATCGGCAGGCGGACTCTGAACCCCTGCGCCACCAGGGAAGCCCTAGAATGTTCTTTAAATATTAATCATGCACATAATTAGTGAAGGGCAGCGGTTGAATATCATCCTCCTTGAATTTCCGGGCTCTCTATTAGTGATGATACTCTTCTTGTTAACGGTTCTATTTCCTACCCTGTTTGTTATCTAAAATACCTCCTTCCTTAACGCCCTTGACAATTAAAAAGTTGAAAAGGGGCCTTCCCTGGTGGCTCAGTGGTGAGAGTCCGCCTGCCGATGCGGGGGACACTGGTTCGTGCCCCGGTCCGGGAAGATCCCACATGCCGCGGGGCGGCTGGGCCCGTGAGCCATGGCCGCTGAGCCTGCGCGTCCGGAGCCTGTGCTCCGCAACGGGAGAGGCCGCAACAGTGGGAGGCCCGCGTTCCGCAAAAAAAAAAAAAAGTTGAAAAGGTTCTTTTATGAAGTTGGTGTTAGGAGTTTATAAGTATTCAAGTAAAGTTTTAATAACTTAAAAGGACCTTGAAAATCTAAATTACTTATAAAGAAATGAGGCCTAAAGAAGGTGAGTGCTGTGTCCAAGGTGGTAGAATCCGGATTGCAATGTAATTCCAGTCTTCTTGAGGCCCTTTCCACTACACTGACAGCTTGGCTTTCACTCCATACCCTCCTTTTACCTCAGACGTTAAAAAAATATATTTGGAAATATTTGAAAATTATTTTCTCTCCATTTTTGAAGACTGTATGTGAAATGATTTCAGGCATGATTTCTACTGCTCTCAACCCCACTAAGCTTTCCCTTGAAAGCTTGAGAATCCCTCAATCTCATTGTTTTAGGAAACTCAGATTATATCCTATTAGCTGAAACAACAAATACACTGGAGTCAGACGGTTGGGGATTTGCTGTTGATAGCAATGTAACTTTATGGAAGTTACTCCTCAGTTTCCTCATAGGAAATTGGGATGATTCCTACCTTGCAGGGGTTTGCAATAATTAAAGTAATAGGTGTAGGGTTTAGACATAATATGGGAAGGCTAAATAGTAATCCTTACTCATAGTAATCCTGTGTCTCCTACCAAAAGCAATGAAAAAAGATGGAAAACCTCTTAGCCTTAGAATTAGGTACTTGCGCAAACATTTGGTCAGGCACTTTACTAAATGTAAACTTCTCTTATTCTCTTGGCTTTTCCCAAGCCTAACTCCGTACCTGGAATAAGGCCTATTTCATCCCTGCTCTTTCATACTAAATGTGCCCAGCCCTCTTCATTTAAAGAATTCCTGCAATCCCATTACCACCACTGTTTTCCCCAATAAATGAGAAGTAGCAAATACTATATGAGTATGGTGACAATGCTCCTGCATATACAAAGACAATCATGATTTCAAATATTCTGTCTGATTTTTTTCTATAAACCTTCACTTACTTGTCAGTGCACATATTCTGATTAGTGGTTAGGCCATATATATTGCCACCAAGCTTCAACTTCCCATGGCATCACTTACGTCTTTGAAACTCCTCCCAAAACACACAGCTGCCTCGCTACATGCAGCGAATTTATTTGACATTTGCCCTACTTTCTGTATATCTTAAGGATCTGGGACAAAAAAACACAGGATACCTATCAGGTCTGGGCAGAAGGGACCCAGACTAGGATGGGGGTAGGTAGGAAGGGAGAAGAGAAGGAGAGACTGAAAGCTAACAAGTAACCCAATTTTGTCCCAGGAGAGGGGGGAGACAGCTGGCAGTTAGCTGAGTATACAGTGTAAACAAATGGGGAAGCTAGGGATGCGGTCCAAAATGAAGAAAAGTATTGCTAAGCAGTGTCTCTTTTTTTAACTTGTATCTCTTCAGTATATGTTTTCTGAATATTTGAATGATGAAATAAATTAATACATGGTCTTCCACTAGACCAGATTGTTTCTATTTAATATACTTTGCAAAGTTAATACTTTTTCTAGGTATCGTAAAAACATAAGAATAAATCATGTTTTAGAAGGTTCAGTGACTATCCAGAATCCACTCCAACTCTGATAAAATATTTGTGTTTTAAAAAGAGCTTAAGAGTTTTAAAGGGTATTTATCACCTTCAATAGCGTTCTCTGAGCGTAGCCCCATGAAGTTTATACACTGCTCAAAATTGTTTTCCAAATTGCTTGTTAAAATCTGGATACACGGCAAGAGTAGGACTGGCAGGATTATTTTAACTCAGTGGTTCCATCTGACTGATCGCTTGTGATTTACTCAAAAAGAAAAACCAATTTGCACTTTTGTATTTTAGTTTTATTTTATGCCAAAATATGCTCATAAACCTACATTTTATTGAAATTATTTTTAAAAGATATCTTTCAAGCATTTGTTAAACTAAACTATGCATCTGATTTTTAACAGCTTTTTTTTAGTCGTACAAAAGTATGCCCCTTCACCCTGTATTCTGCATCTTTGCCTTTAGAATGGTAAAAATAACAAAAAAGACTGGAGTCTAAGTATAGAGTTTACATGTAATTCAGCTGTTTCTGCTCTGATTGGAACTGACCCCACTCAAAGAGTTTTTCATGAAAAAACAAAGTCTTTAGTCACTTTATCTGGATGTATGGTTTATCCCTCCCAATAACACTTTAATTTATTCATTTAGTTCATAGATTATTGAGGTAAGACTTTCCTTGCCTAAAATATCTTCCCCACCAGTCTTCCTCTGTCGCTTTGCCTGAAATTTCCCCATAAAATTTAGTCTTTTAGGTCAATCTAGAAAAGTAAGGGCACTGTTTCCAGACCCCACAGCTGAGTTCAGGAATGCAGAGGAAAAAGGAAGTTACATCGTTTGCACAGTTGATATGGTAAAGTAGAAGAATGAAGTTTCAACCAGCTGTCAGGATGTTCTTTTCTTCTTCCTCATTACCACAATTTTGGGGTGCCATTCTTCCCAGAATGGCATGGTTAAACCAGAACTAAAGATAATCACACCATTCTCAGCTTTTAAGTTCAATAGCGTTGACATTGGTATAAGAAAAGATTTGAAAAGAAGTGTAATCTGGCTAAACCAGTCCCCTCCACCCCATTTCCCATCCCTATCACCCCAACCCCAGTGAATGCCTCCTGGCTGGGAAAGGAAGGAGAGTTTGAAGCCAGATGCACTGTGGGAGTCATGGTCCCTTGTCCCATTCCTGAGCTGAGTTGAGGATAGGGGTGAAGGATCCAAGAGTAGAGATGGTTTGTGCCTCACAACAAAGTCTCTTGTTTCCTTCTGTCTTGAGGCAACAGAACAGAAGCCAAGAGCAGCCTTCCTTAGAACGATTGTAGACAGCAGCCTCAAAACAATGGCAACAAGGGGTATGAAGAGCAACAAGGGGAGTGCAGAACAGCCTAACCTTCTGTGATTGTTAATGTTATGTG